TCAAAGCCTCTTTACTTTGACTTGAGTAAAGAAGTTTAGTCAGTACTTCTACTTTTACCAGAGTATTTTTAAACACGAGTATCTGTACTTCTACTTGAGTAAAGGATGTGAGTACTTTTGCCATCTCTGAACATAAGTAGTAGTAAGTGTTTTTTCCACCACTGATCTCATGTTGTTAGGTCCCAACACTTTGACTTTAACCAGCATGACAGCACATTTGACTCCTGAGCGTTCAGGAAATTAACTCTTGTTATTTTCTCTCCCCACAGCTCCACTTCTGCTGACGGCGGCAGCATTTGTTAGCAGACGGCGGTCAGATGCGTAAACTCTGGTTTCAGTGGAAAAGGCGCCTTCTCTTTATTGTGGATTGAGGAAATGTGTCATAGACTATTCAGACGTGGAGAAGGTTTTGCAATGTTATCCCTCCTCTAAGCTCTCTTTAAGTCTGGAGTAGAGTAGGGGGTATTTTCAATCCGGGGGGTATACAAAGTATTTCATTACAAATTCAACGTACTTGGACTTTAGAGTTTTTTCATACTCTATACTTGTACTCTACTAGATCTCAGATATACATATTTCACTTTTTAGTGCACAACATCTGTCTTGAGTTATTTTCAGATTACATTTTACTGAACATTCCTTAGTTCCTTTATTTGAAACCTTACAGTTATTACTGTAATGTTGGTTGGGCGTCCAATATATTAAAATCACATTGTTGGTCCAGAGGTCTATGCATTGTTTCCTCATGCAGGTGCTAAAGGTTCAAAACCCAGAGGAGAGACAACTTGTGTCTTCTGCTATGCTGATGTTTAATCTGGAGACATTGTCCCCATGTTTATTACACATTTTGTTCCGCAGTGGATTAAGAAACATGAATCAAAAATAAAATACATCTTTTGCCAAGCCAGGCTAGCTGCTTTCCCTCCAATGTCAACCTTTAAGCTATGCTAAGCTAAGCTAAGCTATGCTTATTGTTTCTTGCTTAAAAGCTTTGTGTTTAGCATAGGGCTGCTCGATTATGGCAAAAATCATAATCTCGATTATTTGAGTCAATAATTGGTATCACGATTATTAAAAACGATTATCCATTTACTTTGAAAACATCCATTTATTGAAAAAGAAAATGTGAACAGTATGTTTTTAACAGTTGATTACCCTGAACTTTAAGTATAATTCAACTGAAAAACCAATAAAAGTTTTTTTTAAATAAATAAATAATCGTTTTATTTCGATTATGTTGTTTTCATAATCGTTGCAAGCCAAAATCGTAATCGCGTTTAAAATACGATTAATTGAGCAGGGCCCTAGTTTAGCATACACATAATATGAGACCAATGTTCTAAAAAAAATCTCATAACAAAGAATACAATGTACAGTAAACTTTATTTATAATTTCTGCATCTCTAGTCTTTAAAATCACACATTAAATAACTACATCTCTCTTGTTTTATTTTCATGCTCCCCCGTGAAACAGTGCAGGCCATTTGTGTGTTTTCAATCGTTTTTGGACAACAATGGAGCTGTCTATACAGTATCTATACAGTATATATTTCCATGTAGATATAACAGGCTAGCGGTTTCCCCTCTACTTTTAGCCTTTATGCTAGGCTAAGCTAATGCCTCAATAGCCTCTTATTTTCTGAAAAAACATGGATAATATTAAAATAATACCACAGTCAAAGTACCTTTGTTCTGATCTCTCTGCTCAGCAGGATACAGATATGAAAGGAAAAAGTCCAATTAAAAGTCATTATTTAAAAAGGATATTCTCTCCCCTTTAAACGACATTTTAACCCAAATCGTCGTAATCCTCTTCATCATCGTCTTCACCATCGATGTCGTCGTAGTCTTCAGTGGACGCATCGTCTGTTTCTTCATCTGTTTTCCTGTAAAGTGGAGGAAGAATCCTCACCTCAGCCTCCACCTTTACGTAGTCAAACGACTCAGGTGTTGAATTCTCGTAATCGGGCGACGCCTTCTCGTAATCGGGCGACGCCTCCTCGTAATCGGTCGACGCCTTCTCGTAATCGGGCGACGCCTCCTCGTAATCGGGCGACGCCTCCTCGTAATCGGGCGACGCCTCCTCGTAAGCGGGCGACGCCTCCTCATAATCGGGCGACGCCTCCTCGTAATCGGACATGGCCTCCTGGCATTTGGGCATGGTCACCTGGCATTTGGGCATGGACCCCTGGTGTTTGGGCATGGACCCCTGGTGTTTGGGCATGGACCCCTGGTGTTTGGGCATGGCCACCTGGTGTTTGGGCATGGCCACCTGGTGTTTGGGCATGGACTCCTGGTGTTTGGGCATGGACTCCTGGTGTTTGGGCATGGACTCCTGGTGTTTGGGCATGGACCCCTGGTGCTTGGGCATGGCCACCTGGCACACAGGCTCGGCCTCCTCATAGTCGTGTTCGTCAGCCAGATTTTCATAGCTTTGAGCCGCTGAAACCACATATTTCAAATTATGCCAGCTTTCCTTTTTATATTGCAAAGTTATAATATATGTATGTAGTAGTTTGGTAGTTGATTGCAGCAGTAATTGTCAGGCCAAAGAGGTCATACTATTAGTTTGTATGTAAATAACGGTATGGATAAAGATACTGATTATTAGTGTTATGTAAATAGGATTTGCGGGAGTCTGATGGGCACCATTGTAATTATTTTATTGTGTACATTGAATTAATTTCTTCCAATATTTCCATAAAATAAAACAACTAATAAACTAAGCAAATAGGCTAAAATGCAAAAACCAACAATGATAATCAAGTTTAAACCCAAAAATAACTGATTATTTTCGTAAAAATAAATACAGCAAATAGACTTTTTCATGGAAGAAAATTACTCATGTATTTCTATAGATAGCTGGTAGTTAAAGATTTTCAAAAATGCATCGACTAATTGTCCTTTAAAGCTGCTGTGTATCCACCCACATGTTGCTTTAAACATATATTTTGGTCTAATTTTACACTTCAAATGGCTTTACGGTACTTCGCCTACTCATCTTTCACAGACTGGTTCAGTTATGCAATATCTGTGGTTATGTTTGGGATCTAGTTCCTGGGGTTTTGGAGAAAAAAAGCCACAGAAAAAAGGAAATATTTTCACAGCCCTTTATGATAATTTAACTGTCACCAGTGGTTTGGTTTTGTCAAGACACATTCATGTAGTACCACAGATAAGACAGTGGGTTATTGTCAAATGGTAGATGGGATGACATGTAATGAGGTTTTGTGTACGGCCATTGTTACAATGTGGTGTAAAAAGTGAGTAGAAGACGTGCAGTTTAAAGAAGAAGAAGGAAGGATTTGTCTTGCCTGCTGTGAGAAACTGTGCCCGAGATGGTAAAGGCGGCGTCTCAACCTGGTATTTGTTGCTTCTGAGAATTAAAGAAAATGAAACTTTAAAACTATGACGTAAAATAAACAGTTCCACATTTCAGTGAATAAGCTTAATCACGTTATTGCAGAGAGTTAGACGAGAAGATTGATACCACTCACATGTACTTCTATTAAATGTGAAGCTACAGCTGGGTTAGCTTAGCTTAGCATGAATGCTGCATTCACGGGGTGGAAGATTAATCGGTTTATTCCAGATACATTAAAAAAATATATATAAATAAAATAAAATATAATAAAATAAAATACAATAAATTGAAATTAAATTGATAAAAATAAATAAAAATAAAATAAAATAAAATACATTCTAAGATTTGGCTAGAGCCAGGCTAGCTGTTCCCATCTGTTTCCATTGCTTATGCTAAGCTAAGCTAACTGCATCATATTTAAAAGACAGATTTAAGTTTGGTATCAATTTTCTATTCTAACTCTCGCCAAGAAAGATGATAGCTGTGTCTTATGTAATGTAAATCTTTCTCGTTTACAGTTTACAAAGATCTTACTATGAACAATACATGAATTTAATATAAAACATGAAAGATATTAAGTAAAGAAAATGTATATTACTTGATAGTTAAGTCAGACTTGTTCCTGTGAAGCTGTGTGATTCTGAGTCTGCCTGTGGAAAAGAAAAAGGACACGCAGTTAGATTGAATCACATTGAAAATGATCAATCTTTAATAAAATGTTAATGCTTTTTAATTAACTCACTGCCCAAGGATATAAGAATGGCAAGCTCTTCCTAATTTTCAAAGGAAATTAAAGACTTTTCATTTCATCTGTCTTTTCATTGTTACTATTACTCCGTTTTTAAGAAGAAGAAGAAATACTTTATTCATCCCTTACAGGGAAATGTCTTTCCCCACTCTGTTGTGTTTACACACATTACACACACAGGGGAGGATATACATGCACACACACAACCACATGCAGATAGGAGAAGTAGCAGAGAGGCTTCCAGGTACCCGGCGCCAAGGGAGCAGTTTCGAGGTTAGGTGTCTTTCTCAAGGGCACCTCGGCAGTGGCCTTGGAGGTGAACTGGCACCTCTCCAGCTACCAGCTCACTCCACATTATGTTTTGTGGTCCGATCGGGATGTGACCCAGCGACCCTTCGGTTCCAAGACCAAGTCCCTACAGACTGAGCCACTGCCGCCTTAACCTCCAATCATTGATTTTTACATTATTTATGTTTACTCTTATTTATTTTGTATAGCTTTTATCTATTATAGCCTCCACTGGCTTCCCGTCCATTTTAGAGTTAATTTTAAGATTCTATGGTTTGTTTTTAAATCGCTTAATGGGCTGGCCCCTCAGTACATCTCCGACCTCCTACAGGTGTACCCCCCCTCAAGGGCTTTGAGGTCGGCTGATCAGCTGCGGCTGGTAGTCCCTAAAACCAGGACAAAGACCAGGGGAGACCGAGCCTTCTCAGCGGTAGCCCCCAGGCTCTGGAACGACCTGCCCCCTCATGTCAAATTGTCGCCCACTCTTGAAGCTTTTAAGTCCCTCCTAAAGACCCACCTCTTTTCCCTCGCTTACGAGTCAGTCTGAGCTACAGTATGTCACTACCTAGTTGTATGCTTTTATTGTCTGTCCATAGCTTTTATGTGCCTTGTATTTATTCTTATAAGGTTCTTTATTTACTTGTAGCTCTAAGTAGGACATGAGGAAACCTATAACAATATTGCAAAATAAATCATGTGTTCATCTTAAAGTGGACCTATCATGCTATATTATAATAATATAGTATAGGACCATACCTATATAAGGCATATTTATACTTTTTTTTTTTCAAAATACCAAACAGATCATGCATTTTAGCCATGCCTCATTTCGCTCAATTTGACATTTTTTAGCTCTGTTTTTGCAAGGGCTGATTCAGTGAGAACAGCACCACCTACAGGCCTGGCATATGTACTACAGCGTCTCCAGCGCTTTCGAACGGCAATGGCCGTGGCTGTCTTCTCCTGATTGGTGGAGTTGGCCCAATAGCCGTAGCGCCACCGTCCTGACGTCAGGACAGTGTTCAAATCTGGATCAGTTTTTATCAGATCCGTTGCAGCCCCTTTTTTAGAGATTTGGGTATGGAGGAAAATAGAGAGGGTTGTGTTTTCTGACACTTGGTGAGTTCCCTGGAACACCGGGGACACATATTCATGTAGAAAAGACGTACAAAAGAGCATTTTGCATGATAGGTCCCCTTTAAAGTATTCATGGTTTTATTATGAACAATCCTCTCTAATAATTCTCAGTTATATTCTTCTCGCTTGAATTGCTCTGTGTTTATCCACATCCTAAAATCAGCTGGTTTCCGTTCAGGGATCATTAAAGTCAGGCTGATGAAATACACCATTACAGTAATAATAGCATTTCATTCAATTATTATAGTTTTCCTTCTGCTTTGCAATACCTCTGCAGGGCCAGGTTCTTTTTTAAGGGTTTGGTTTCTCTTCCTGTCGTGGGTTTTAATTTCCATTTATTACACTATATCGGTTTTTCAGTAAACAAAAAAAACAGGTAGTTAACAATATCAAAAGTGAAACGTATGTCTTTTGCAAACTTGTTTTTAACATAAATGTAACTTTTATTGTCAAATCCTTTTGAACAGAGCTTTGTAAGCATGTTGTTATGCTGGCAAAACACATTTACAAGTATTAAACTTCCAATTAAGAGTGCACTGTACTTACTGTGTATATTACTTTACTTAATATATTTCTCTGCTTTATTTAGGCTACTTTAACAATATGTACATGTATAAACATCATACATTAATCAAACTATCCGAAGAAAATGTAAAATTAGCTCCACTTTGATCGATCAACTGTAAAACCCTTAAATGGGATTTTTAATTAGCACTCTCGTAATTAATTGATTACCTGACTACTTAATTAATTATTGATGACTCAGTGACTTGATGTCTTGATTGAGAATTTAAATATTTCAGTGCCTTAATTATAGGTTAATTAGTCGATTGATTTCATGATTGTTTGATTATTCCATTAATTGTTTACTTTTTATTTACAGATCGTCTTTCGCATTTTAGGCAGCGTTTCATATTTTAAACTTACGCTTCTGCGTCTGAAGAAAAAAGATCTGAAAAGATCTGGATTATATCTGATAAAGAGGAAAACAATTGAATAAACGCTCATTAAATAAAAATAAACTTGTTGTTATCGTATATCTATTATAATAAAAGGCAAAAAATAACAGAAAAGGACGTTTTGAAGTGCAAATGAAGCCATGTCTGATACATATCACGCACCTTGTCTTGATAACCATCGGTTGATGCAGACGCAGAAGAAGACGATGACCGCAGACACAGAAATAATCCCAAGAATCACCCACAACCAGAGGTACTTGCGTAAAAGCTCCATGAACATTCTGCTGGATAAATATTTGTTTTTAAAAATCACATTAGAGGCTTTGGAAAGCTGTGAGATCTATGCGTGAGGTTGCTGCTTTTCAGTTTACAGAACTGTGCATCGGAAAGAAACTACTTGACCACTTCCCCTTTTTGTGCGTTGACTAAGTCTTAAAGTTATTTTTGTGTTTACTTTTGACACCGACAAGCAAATCAGCTTCTTGAGAATCTCTAGGGAGTTTTTTTTCTTGTGAAAGGAGAGAAATGTGACAGCTGTTCCTCAGGATATCTGAGCCTGTGCTGGACATTAACAGGCGTTTATTAACTGTATTGTTTGTGAGGTAGACAGACTTATATATATTCCCTTATCTGTGTGAACACAAGGAAATAAAGGATATTATTTCCTGTTTATCTGAGTATCACATATCCTCTCTTTGCAACAGCTTCCTGTCAACTCTTAATAAAAACACTGACCAATACTGCTGACATTCAAATGTTAAATTATGTTCCTCAAAACCAACCAAGTGATGTTTATAGTAGACGTGAGGCCAGATATAAGCTTTTTAAACTAATTTATCTTGCGTTTACATGTCTTAATTGTCTCTCAAATGACTTTTTCAGTTTTAAACAGTCAGAATGTGCCTTACCTTCTCAGAAAACAGTCTTCAAGGCTTTAAAAGTTCCTTAAACAGATAATGAAAGCGGATGGCGGGATGTGAAAATAGTCTTGTGTGGTATTTGCATGACAGTTTCAAATGTTCTTAGTCAATCAAAGAAATTTGAAGGCTAGGATGGCATTATCCCCTCCCCTCTCTCTCCCTCGCTCCAGTGACTACAGCATGAGTGTTTGTGTGTGTGTGGTGTGTGTGTGTGTGTGTGTGTGTGTGTGTGTGTGTGTGTGTGTGTGTGTGTGTGTGTGTGTGTGTGTGTGTGTGTGTGTGTGGCCTGCATTACTATGAGGGGAATCATTAATTTTAGGGTGAAGACTTGGTTAGGGTTAGGCATGTGTTGGTTATGGTTAAGGTTAGGATAAGTCTCCAGGAAATGCATGTAAGTCAATGTAAGGTCCCCTGAAGTGATGCATACATAGTATGTGTGTGTGTGTGTGTGTGTGTGTGTGTGTGTGTGTGTGTGTGTGTGTGTGTGTGTGTGTGTGTGTGTGTGTGACTGACAGTGAAACAACCATATTTATAGCCATACTATACATCCGCTTGAAGACTCCTAGTGCAATGTGTATGTTTATGTGAGAGATTAACCTCTGTTCTGTGATGTTAAATATATAAAAATAACATTTAAAGCAAGTTATTTTTCCATGTATAGTCAATGATGTCAGAGCCAGAGCAGAGCATTTCTGTACATCCATTTCTGAGTCTCTTTTTTGTTTTCAGTTCCTCTTGAATCAACATAGTGTCACACTGGTGTTTGCCACTGTGTATGCGATGGGATTAAGATATTTAGGTTTTTAACAGATTTAAAAAATTCCATTACTCACATTCACACACAACTCTTCTTCCTTATTTGATATTATTTTTTCAAAAACAATTGTACTGTGTTTTACTATTATCTAATAATTCAAGCAGAGGCAACATTTTTATTTTGTTGAATTGTTTATAAGACATACAGAGGTGGGAGAAGTACTCAGATCTTGTACTTGAGTAAAAGTAGAAGTACTCAGATCTTGTACTTGAGTAAAAGTAGAAGTACTCAGATCTTGTACTTCAGTAAACGTAGAAGTACTCAGATCTTGTACTTGAGTAACAGTAGAAGTACTCAGATCTTGTACTTGAGTAAAAGTAGAAGTACTCAGATCTTGTACTTGAGTAAAAGTAGAAGTACTCAGATCTTGTACTTGAGTAACAGTAGAAGTACTCAGATCTTGTACTTGAGTAAAAGTAGAAGTACTCAGATCTTGTACTTGAGTAAAAGTAGAAGTACTCAGATCTTGTACTTGAGTAAAAGTAGAAGTACTCAGATATTGTACTTGAGTAAAAGTAGAAGTACTCAGATCTTGTACTTGAGTAAAAGTAGAAGTACCAGAGTGTAGGAATACTCTGTTACAGTAAAAGTCCTGCATTCAAAATGTTCCTCAAGTAAAAGTATAAAGTATTCTCATCAAAATATAGTGAAAGTAGCGACAGTAAAAGTAGTCATTGTGCAGATTGGTCCATTTCAGAATAATATATATGATATGTTTTATAATGATTGATCATTAAAGTGTTCTCAAAGCTGGTAAAGGTGCAGCTAGTTTGAATGACTTTGTATACTGCAGGGTAGCTTGTGAATTTACTCCAGGTGGAACTAAAGTCTGATTCAACACTTGATTATATTTCACATCATTCATCCACATCTGTGAAGTAACTGAAGGTATTAAATACATGTAGAGGGATAAAAGTACAAAGTAAATTACAAGTATCTCAAAATTGTACTTCAGTACAGTAGGCTACTTGATTACATATATTTAGTAACTTCCAACATTTGAAGACATAGGCCTATACTGTAAATATAGCTGGCAAACAATTGTGTATATGACTTTTGCTGAATCTATAAAAAGAACTGATGAAAAAGAGGGGGGGAGAGAGGAGTTCAATTTAGTTTAAATGTGGAACTTGATACTCTCTACTTCTCAGAAACTTAATTCAAAGTAAATTGCTTTTATTTTGAAGGATGAGATCGGACTCACACAAGTTGGCTAAAATCAGTCAAAAGGAAATGGGCAGTTTTCTGTCAAAATAAAAGCTCATACAATTGTAAATTGGTGGGAAAACAATGTAGGAGGTGAATGCAACGTTAGCAATCATAATACATGGAAACCAAAGTTTAATTATTTGTTATGCAATTGTTTTTATAAGTATGGTTGGAGCACGAGACCCCAAATGTTTAGTGTTCTGTTTCTCTTTCTAGGTGTTTGATGTCTCTTTGTTTCTCTTGATAGTTTCTTTATGGCTGTCTGTGGTTGCTTTGCTTCCCTATGCAGCCATTGGGTGTTTTAATGTGGTCATATTGAGTGTCTTTTTCATTATATTGGTCTTTTTGTAATCATTATGTGTCTCTATGTGAGCATTTTGAGATTATTTTTTATTTGTTTAATCTTTTTGTATTTATATCTGGTCTGTGGTTGCTTTTAAACCTCATTGTTGTTGTTTTGTGCCTCTCTGTACTGTAGTCATTGTGTGTGTCTTTGGTAGCCTTTTTCTATATATTTAGTCTTTTTAAATCTGTGTAGTCACTGAGCATCTCTTTGCAGGCATTTCTGCTCTCTTTTCGTACTCATTGTTAGTCACTTTGTTATTGTTTTAGTCTCATTTAGAGATTATTTGTGTTTTGTTTCGTCTTAATGTTGTTATATTTGGTATATGGTTATTTGTACACCATCCTGTTGTTGTTTTGTGCCTCTTTACTATATTTCTTAGTCGTTTTATGTCTTCTTGTGTTCAATTAGCATCCCTTTTCAGTCATTTTGTGTCTCTTTTCGTACTCATCGTGAGTCTCTTTGTTATTGTCTTTCTTCTTTAATTTTTTAATTTTTTGTATGCAGTTGTTTCGGTGTCTACTCAATGACAACATGGATTTTAATTTGAAAGTGTAACCGGAATACACACTCTTCACTCCCCCTTGCCAGCTTAACACTAGTTGTGATGTTAGCCTGTTTTCTTGGACACTCCTAGCGCTTTATCCCACTAAAACCCTGCTAATTGCCTCAAGCCCCCCTCAAGAAACCATGGCCGATCAGGCCTCTGGACCCCCTCTGTCGTCCCAACATGACGGTAAATGTGTTGTGTTTGTCGGGGGTTTTATCAGGAGTTTTGAGGGGCTTGGAGACCGAAAACCAGCGGCCCGTTGGTGCATCTCTGACAACATTAGCATTAGCATTAGCATTAGTTAGCATCATCAGGGCGACGTGTCACTGGCTGTCACTGCCCTATAATGAACCTGTAACACTACGCAGTTAGTGTTTATACAAAGATAACAACGTACACATGTTTTGGGGGTTACTAAAGCTTTATATGGCTGAATATAAGCTGTGATATTGTATCCTTATAACGTTGTTGTGTCATTTAGCTTGTTAGCTGTAAAGCTAGTCTGATTTAGTGTGATGTATCAGAATCAGATTTCCTTCATTAGTAGGCCTATACATGTACAACGTTACAGCAAAGGTGACATAGCAGATAAAAGGCAAGCAATAAAAAGTAGCAAGCCTGTTAGAAATTGAGGAAAAGCACACATTGGAAATACAAATAAAGGGTTTTAAAGGGTCGATACTAGCTCCTGTTAGCCTGGCCTTGTCAGTCTTTTAATATGGATCATATGGATTATATCGGGCAATTACAAAGTGCTGTGAATGGCCTGTGCACACGTTGGGGGTTGGACCATAATACAGGAGGGTATTCCGGCTGTTTCTCAAACAGGGGTCCGGGGACCACAGTGGGGTCATGCAGGGAATGCTGTAGCTTTAAAGGTGCAATGTGTCAGATATGCACATAAGTCTAGTTTAAAAAAAATGTAATTAACATTTTCAGCAAGATTCAAAGAGGTTATGGTCTTGGTGTTTGTTAAAGATGTTTATGCATTGTGGTGCAGGGATGTTTGCAATGGTGTAAAGTAACTAAGTAGATTTACTCAAGTACTGTACAATTTTGAGAGACTTGTACTGTCTTGTAATACCACTTGTTCCTCTAGAAGCAATATTGAGGCACTGTCTGCACTCATAGTAAGATGAGAAAACACGCCACATCATTTGTTGTGATTGGTCCAAATTCCAAATCTGCCATGTAAATACTAAGGCAATTATCTGACATCTTAAGTTTACCATGTTTTCCTTTACATTAAATATCACACTGTCAGCAATCGGCAAAAGTGAGGATAACTGAAAATAAAGGACAATGCTGATATGAAAGGACGGAGAAATGAAGCTGCTCCAAAGGCTTTCATCCTGTTGAAGTTACCCTGTACATTTCTATAGCTTGTTTATAGGATTAAAGGTGGGGTAGGTAATTCACTTCAGAAACACTTTTTGTTATATTCCATGGAATGCTCTTAACATCCCGATAGCAATGAATACATGAAATGCTTTGACAAATAAATACATAAATACATTTCATCTGTGGAAGCTGTGGCGCTGTAAAAAGCACGACCAATCATCTGAGCCGGCCCGGCTAAAATAACTGGATGGCCTACCTGCCTGTCAGCCTTCCATCTGTGCACAAACTTATCTCGTGCCCTCATTGGTCATGCGCGCGTTCGTGTGTGTTGGAGTAGGGGCTCTGTAAGGAAGTCTGAAGGAAGGGTCAGATTTTTTCCGGTTGTGTACTTTCAAATTCTAGCACACTCGAGCCGGTTTCTCCATTCTTACCTACCCTACCTTTAAGTCAAACGTGGCAGAAATGAGAAAACTGCATATTTTCGCTGCTTGCTAAATGAGATTTGCTGCAGTTGCTAAATTAAGGTCAGTTTCCCTAAACTGACACACAATCTTTTTCTGGCAAAACGGTAGCGGGAAGGAGGAGGAAGCTGTAATTTTTGCCACTTTTACATTACATTACATTACATGTCATTTGTTAGACGCTTTTATCCAAAGTGACTTGCATACATTCAGTACTGTGGACAATCCCCACAGGAGCACTTTGGGGTGAAGTGTCTCAGGGACACAACAACATGCTGACTGCAGTGACTATCACTTGAGACTCATTCTGAAAAATACAACTGTCAATGAAACTATCAAATTCAAAATGTATATGGACAGTAC